TTTAATGAAATCCTTCAAAATTTAGGTATCTTCGATAGCTGGTAGATTTATAAAAAATTTATTAATGGATGGATTTTAAAAGATCCACCAAAATTTTAGTTGAGGACACCCCCGTAAAGCTTCATCTTAAATATATATGTAAAATTGACTTCTCATTACAAAAAAAAAAAAAAAAAATTAATTTCCCTTTTAATTCGCGTGATTGACCCATCTGAAATTCTTTCACTAGTCCTACCTTTCTTATGGCTAAAATTGTGTGTCTCTTGACAGAAAGTTTCAAACTCAACGTCAAGAATGAAGTAAAACTGGGAAAAAAAAAAAAAAAAACTTATTCGATATATATGAAAAATGTGTTTTGCTCGTTAGATATGTTGCACTCAAGACTGACCTAAAATAATTTAAAAAAATAGATCTGACAATTTCGAGCTTAATTAGATATAGATTCAGGTTCCTTGCAGATCATTCGCATTGCAACCAATTGATTACAAGAAATATGATGAGATCTAGTAAAGTTGACGATCGAAAATTTAGGGGACTACATCTTAAACTTTCGAATCTTGATTCAGATCAATACACTATGAATTGAGAATGATGAGGAGAAAGCGTAAAAGAATTGATTACAAGAAATATGATCAGATCTAGTAAAGTTGACAATCGAAAATTTAGGGGACTACATCTTAAACTTTCGAATCTTGATTCAGATCAATACACTATGAATTGAGAATGATGAGGGGAAAGCGTAAAAGAATTGATTACAAGAAATATGATCAGATCTAGTAAAGTTGCCAATCGAAAATTTAGGGGACTACATCTTAAACTTTCGAATCTTGATTCAGATCAATACACTATGAATTGAGTATGATGAGGGGAAAGCATAGAAGAATTCGAGGAAAATGCCAATTCCCAACTCCTCAAGCCTCGATGAAATTGGATGAAATTCAGCTATGTTTGACAGATGTGGACATTCATGAATTTATGGAAGCAAAGTTTACATTTGGAAATTTTGGGGACTAAATCGTGAACTTTTTAAACATGTGTCGGATCAAGACGTTATGAACTGGAAATGGCAAGGAGCAAACTATTGAGATCTCAACGAAATTTTTAAATTATTTATAAATGATCAATCTTAAATAACATCGAATACTATTACATATGATAAATATGTACAATTCGTGTTCATTATACATTTCAATTGTACCTAATACCACTTACGAGACCATTTCAAAATTTCTTCTGTTTTCTTGTATTCCATTAATAATAAACCAAAAAATGGCATTATAACAATATATTATAAAAAATTAAATCAGATTTCTTCAAAGCCGCACCAACATAATATTAAAAATTATTTACTAAGAACTCCTTTATTCAATTGCTTGATTTTAGTATATATCTCTTACAAATATAAAAGCATTGGAAAAATTTTTTTATTCCAACATTTCCAGCACAACCTGAACTAAAGCAAGATCATCAGGACAATAAAATTTTTTTATTCCAACATTTCCAGCACAGTTAAAACTTAAAGCAATTAGTAAAACAAACCAATTTTTCATTAAACTCCTCCCTAGCTGCCTAAGAAATGCAACTGTATCACTTAGAGTC